AAAAGTAGCGGGTGATGTGAAAGATTTTGCAATGCGTGTAAAATGAACGCGCTTCAGTTTTTTTAAAGCATTTTTTACTTCCTTACGCCATTTCTTGAAACATGCTTGTGATTCAACAGTGCCACGTAAGATAGTCAATGTGGTGTGAAAAAGAGAGTTTGGAATCAAGAATGGTGCCAAGATCTTTGAATTTTGAAACATGAGAAACAGTGTGACCTTGACATTGAAGATCAGAAATGATAGGATGCACTTGGCAATGAAATAAGGTCCAGAAAGTTTTCTGAAAATTGATAGATTGTTTCCACATCACAGAATAACAGATTAGTTGATTAAGAACATCCGTTACTTGTTCAACTAGATTTGGAATCAGAAAAAAAGATGGCCAGTAAGCCGAAGGAGAGAAAACAATTTTAAGATCATCCGCAAATAAATGTTTCCAGTGAGATATTGGAGAAAGTGTTTAACAAGTCATAGTGATACACAATAAAGATGACAGAGCCAATACAACTACCCTGGGGTACTCCTATGAACAGATGAAAGAGTACAGATTTTACTCCCTTGATCTCAATATAGGTTGTCCGATCTTTTAGATAGAAATGTAACCATGCAATGAGGTAGGTACAGAGGACAACTCAAACGATGAAACTTGAGCCACAAGCCCTTATACCACAGCTGGTTAAAAGCGGATTTAAAGTCGACAAACAGTACCGCTGGCGCTGTGTTTGGGATTAAACTTTGACCTATCTGGTCAATTACTGCGACAAGTCGGACAGCCATATTATGGTCCTGACGAAAACACGTCTGTTAGTCGCGAAGTATTCCAACGCCTTTGACCCATTTACTAAAATGAACGAGAAAACACTTTTCATACAGTTTTTAAAAACACGGCAACAGAAATGGACGAGTTTCTTCAACCGGCACAGTATTAGTTTTTGTTTTTGATAATAGAATGATTTTAGTTGTGTGCCAGTGTGGCGGAGTACGGATACGAGACGCAGAAAAGTTAAAACACGTTAAGAAGAAGAAGAAGATGACTAGCGGAAATGAGTTTAATGATGCGATTGGAGATCTCGTCTAGACCCGAAGAATTTTTCTTTTTTAAGGACGAAATAGCGTTTTTTTTTATATCCTTTTGTGAAATTCTAAATGCTGTTGGAGCGGAATTTTGTATTTTTTGAAGGATTTCATTATTGATCTGGTCGGCTTCTAATTCTATAGGGACAAAAGGAAAACAACAGGAATGTTCAGAAAACCGTTTTTCGTAAAACTTGAATGATCTGATCGTGTAGACTGAAGAAAGTCTAAAAACAAAAACACAAATAGAAATCATCATCCAGATGTATGTAGTTCTAAATATGATGAATAAAGAACAGCAACTGCAGCAGTACAGTTGAATAACACAATTGAAAAAAAGTTTCTTAGTTGAAATCTGAAGGAAAACATTAAATTAGCATTCAAATCCAGGGATCCTTTTTACATAATGATCAACACTTAAGTTATTATCACAGAGAATTATTTTTCATTAGACCGTAAAAATTCTGACTAGGCTTTAAAGTCTTTTATCTAATAGCTTTTAAGTTTTCTTATTATAAGAAAATCACGCCTGTCACAAATAACTAAGTTGATTGTCTGTTCTCATTTCTTTTTTTAAAAATATTGTTTTTGATTATTTTTTTACATAATCACAAAAAACAAGCAAACAGGAAATGAGCTTTATTTTTACATTTAACAGAAGTGGAATTTCTCTTTCTTTTTTGTTTTTTTAAAAAAGAAAAAGAGAGTGCTAGCATTGAAAATGTGATTGTGTATGTGTATAAAATAAAAAAGATAGAGAAAGCGAGAAATACAAAAAAAAAAGAAAAATAAAAATAAAGAAGAAGAACACAAGTTAAAGTCTTCTCAAATCCAACTTTAATATCCTTGTAAATGTTTTCTTAAATTGTTGATTGGCTAATGCATAACAAAATGGATTAATTGGTGAATTTAAATAACATAAAAAATAAACGGCATGAAATAATGTATTAGAAAAAAAAACATTATCTTTACAGGCATCACAAAGAGATTGTACAGCCGAATATATATGCCTAAAAAAACAAATAAAAACATAAATTTAAAAAATTCTCGTCAACTATTTTCTATTTTAAAAGATGATTAAAATAGTCATCATTCTCAATCTTATGGCAATGTTTTGTGTTAAAAAACCAACAACATTTTACAAATCTGTGAAGATGGATGAAAATAACCACCTTTAGGCAATTTTCACGTTAACAAAAATTTCTCATGACTCGTGCAAAATTTATCCAAATGACGTGAAAATTTCAAGGTCTACTTAATTGCGAAATGTACGAATTATTATAGTAGTACAAAAAATATGAGATATATCATCGTTTTTCATTCACTTCTGGATATTCTTCTTGGTTCCAAAGTGTTATTTTTATTAGTTTCCCTGTTCGCTGCCGATCTCAGTTGTTATTCTCATTTTTTATTCTAAAGTTTTGAAATAGTTTGAACTGATTTTGAATGAGCTGTGGATAGACGTATGAGTCGAAATTTCGAATTGCATATCATTCGTCGAACAGATAGTTTGTCGATAACTTTTCTTTTTGTCGACAAGCACATAGTTAGAGATATGCACGGGTACCATTTTCGTACCCGTACCCGACCCGTGATCGATTTATGCCTAAAAATTTTCTCCGGTTTGTTTTCCAGCTAAAAACTTTTGTTTGTCGGCTGAAGATGTCAAATTATCATTACGTTCTCAAGTAATTCTTTTTTGAACCTTCATGTATATTAGCTAAATTAATGTATTTTTCCGCTAAAATTTTGTGGGTTTTCCACTAGAACCTTCTGATTTCCGGGTAAGTTAAAAAAAAAAATAGAATCCGTACCTGTAAGTGCTCTACTCGTACTCGACAACTTCGTATCCGTATCCAACCTTCGGGTCGGGTCGGGTATGAGTCGGATTGCACATCTCTACACATAGTCGACAGATATTTTGACGATAAGGTATTTTGTCAAATTTATTTCGTCGATATATGTTTGTTGGCTACTTCTTCTCGACAACTCATTCTGTCGACAGTTATTTTGTAGACAACTCATCTCGTCGACGAGCCTTTTTGTTGACAAACCATTTGGTCGACTATGAATCTTTCATCACCCAAATATTTGGCGCTTTATCCGTGTGCTCCAAGAAGAAGTTCGCGTTAATCAACATATTCAACAAGTGGAAATGGGCAAGAAGAAAATTTATAGGCAACAAATATGTCGCATTCAACAGTGTCTCGAAACGCTCGCGGATCGATTCAAGAAGAAAGAGATCGACGTGATCAACTAGATCCAAGGCCTGTCACCTTTGGTCGCAAAGAAGAAATGATATTTCAAACCTTTCAACGTTGCCTGATCTCTCGTTCTTACTTTACTATTTTGTTAGTCTGCTAGTCATCTATGTTGTCTTTATAATTACTTCAGCTGTTATTTTTTCTTCTATCTGCTCAATAAAATCAACATATAAATTGATGCTATTGAGCATTAGCAATTTTTTCACGCATATTTCTCAACAAAATGGCTTGTTGACAAAATAACCCGTCGACAAGGTATTCTTTCGACAATCAAGTGTGACAAAAATTAGTCGACGAATGATATACATACCGAAATTTCTTGCACAAAATGTTCGGTCGTTTTTCTCTAACAAAAAGACGTTATTGAAAAACTGGAAAGTATGTGCCTAGACGAGAATGTTAAGCTCTTGCGGAATATGCGTTCCTATATGGAACAACACGTGTAAGATTGAGAGCCTCTTTCAACCTACGGCTATTTCTACCTGCTTTTCTGAAATCACAGTGTGAAGTGGCGAAATGATGCACGCGGGAATCATACGTACCAGAGTATTATGCACGGAGTTTTGCACACAAGGAAGTGAGAATTTCAGTAGCAGGAATTTTCAAAGATAAACTGAAGAAAATATTAAAATTTCATTTAAATGAGAAATAAAAATGGTGGTTATTCAAGAAAAAGAAGTTTATTTAAGAGAAATATTATGGGGTAGATTAATAATTTGATCAATTATATCTGTACGTGGATTTAAAACTGAACTTAAGAAGTGTTTGTTTAAATGTTGATATTTCTTCTTTTTTTTTGCGTCATGGTACTAAAGAATTCGTTTTTTGTGGTATTCTGTACAGTTTAGTGACGCTATTTATGACTGTTTTGTCACAAAATTATTTACAAACACTTTTTAAGTATAATTTTAAATCCACATACAGATATAATCGAACAAATTAATAATCTACCTCATAATATTTCTCTTAAATAAACTTTTTTTTCTTGAATAACCACCATTTTTATTTCTCATTTAAATGAAATTTTAATACTGTTCTCAATTTATTTTTGAAAAATCCTGCAACTGAAATTCTCACTTCTTCGTGCGCAAAAGTCCGTGCATAAAACTCTGGTGCGTATAATTCCTGTACGCAAGCTTTCGTATGCATCGTTCCTAAATTCACAGTGTCATTAGATTCAGAATGGACGATAATCTATATTTCAATCGTATTTAAGACAGCTAGATGTGAAGAATGATCAGTTTTTAGTGTTTTAAGATAAATTGATACCTAGTATAAACTATGACAGATAAAAGTAATTGTTTTCTGACACTATAGAAGACATCTCAAGCTATCCGAGCATATGAACAACCAAATATATTTGTAGTTAACTTTTTGAACGATGAACTAATTTTTGAATTATCATTTAAAATTTCTAACATCAAAAAAGATTTCGAAGGTTATTTTTTATGAAATAAATTCCGAAGTTATGGCTATTAGAGGATGAACACCGCAGGTGTATCAAAAGTTTTTTCTAGAGTCTACTCTGAATACTTTTGTAGATTAAATAGACTTCCTTTGAATAGCATGAGGTCAATGTTGTGAAGATCTAAAAAATTTGTTTCTTATATGTCCAAATTTTCTTCTAGTACTACTTAAAATCTGCAATTTGTTCCAAGATTACCTACCATGGTGTCCAGCATACAACAAAAGCGCCTGAAACAAAAAAGAATTCATTAAAATTTTAATTGTGCCTTTGTGAATCGCTACGTTCTAGAATGCTTACCTAAGATAAATGTGATAGTTCGCAAAGCTTTGCGTGCTCGATTTTGTGATTTTGATTTTCTATGAATTGGTGGTCTTTGATTTTGAATTAATTCTTTTACCGACGATTTAGTCGATGATGTTCCACTTGTAATGCCTGTTCTATCACTACCACCAAACTGATTTCCACCACCAGCTTTATCTTCTTCACTAGTCAATGTACCATATGACCATCCGAGTCCACCGGTTCGATATGGAAATACTCCTCCTCCAACACCAGCACCACTACTACTAGTGCTACTAATATTGGTCAAAACTGCTTGATCTTTTGTTTTTGGAACATTATCTCCCGAAGCACAATGATCAAATGTGACTTTCGACGGACGATTAGGATTGATACCGATTGTCGATGGATCATCATGTGAACCATAGCCAGATGTATCATTATCACGTGTAACCGTATCCGACGTTGAAAAACGTTTATCGGATAACATTGAATTTATTTCTAATTTTAATGAATTGTGATCATTGTGCATTGATGATTGAGTACCACGATTAAATACTCTTTTATTGGTATTTATTGAATCAGACTTTCTTAATTCTTGGCTATGTGTTTCTTGTATTGGCAAACGAATACAATTTATTGTGTTATTTATCGATGAATCTAATGTCATATTTTTACAAGGAGGAATTATCAGTGCTTGAACATGCATGACAGTTGTCGGTGCCGAGATAGTAGTTACTGCCGATAATACGAGAGGATTGTCTAATGTTGGATCTGGTGAACTGAGTTTTGTTATGGCCCGTAAAACATCTTGAGTAATTGAATTACGAACACTTTTCTGATCCAAATCAGAACTAAAGTATAGATAGACAATATTTGATAATGAAGTGTTACTAATATTAACAGGAGTAAAGAATTTTCTTGTGAAACATTCAAGAAAATAATTTTAATCCTTTCTATTCTTCTGATCTATAAAATTATTTCTCTATTCTCACCTGAACTGTGTATTTGTGGGTAATGTTGTTGAACTTGTTGTAATAATATCTGAATCGGATGAAGTTGTATGATGACATTGTAAATTAAATTCAGTTGATGAAAACTGTGGATGTTCATCATTAACTTTTTTCTTAATACCACCACTATTACCAGATGATGATGTTATTGATCTTGTTGATGATGTTGTTGAACTACGAACACTTGACGTTGTACTAATAGGATTTTTAATTGATAACGATAGAGATGATGATGTATGTTCAGATAATTTTGGTTGTTGAAGTTGATGTTGATGATTATTTCTAATCGATGACATAGACGATTCATAATTATAAATTCGATCTAGAGAAAAATCTTGACTATAATTAATACTCATACTATGACTACTCTGATTTGTATCTGAATCTTGACAATGTTGTTTATTTAACATTAATTTTTTCATCATTTGTTGATCATGTGGAAGTGTTGTAAAATCATCATCATCAAAAAATGCCGATGATTTTTGTTCATTTAATCGTAATAATGAACATGTTTCTTCACCTATTTCATTATATTCATTTTGTTCAAAATCTGTACTTTCTTCATTTTCATTTAATAATGTAGCATTTGTTAGTGTCATACTTACTGCATGTGATGATGAATTGTCATTTGTTCGATTATTAATATTAAAATCTAATTGTCCACACTGAAAAAATTCTAAAAGTGCTTGTTCAATTGTTTTATTTTTAGAAACTGTTGTTGTTGATGATGTTGTTTTAATTGGCGCTAAATGATTTAATGGAGTTGTGGGTAAAGATTTTGCTTGTGATAATAAAATAATTGATGATGATGTTGACTGATCATTTGGTATTGATGATGAGTGTTTTGTTAACGGAGACATTGTGATTGATGATGGTTTAACACTTAATAAATTTTTTAACAATTTTTCACGAGATACATTCCTTAGACTACGGTGTTGAATATCTAAATCATTGATTGCTGTATTATTAGCACCAAATGTTATTAATTCAACATTATCATAAATGGCCGATTCGAGAATGGCCATTTGTGCATCATCAGTACCATAAATCTCATATTTTGTACCACCAATAGTATTAGAAACTACTTTTGTTTTAGAACGATGTTTATGTTTTAAATAGAATGGTGATTTGTAAACAACAGTTTCTTCTCGAATTGGTTCATTTGTATTATTTGGTACACGTCGACGATGTAAAATATAGCCTAGAACAGAAGAATTGTTTACATGTTTCAAATATACTGTCCTATATCTAAGATTCACTTCTTTTTTTTTTCCTTTTACAAAAGGGTAAAGTTAGAAATGTAGTAAACACGTTAAATTAGACGGACCTAAATCTTCGAAATCTGTTTCATCAATATATGGTATATGTTCATCGATACTACTACTGTTACTATTTAATAGTCTCCAACTTTCATCCGATGATTCACTGTTTATATCTTGTTGTATAGGTAATTTTGAAGATTGTTCAATAAATTCTATTAAATTATTTTGACAAATATTTTCAGTTATATTTTCTGTTGTCGAAGGTATATTATTTGTTAAATTTGATTTGTTATCTATTTCAGTAGTTACATGATTGGACGTTGTTTGATCATCATGAATTACTTTTTCTTTATCGTACGATGTTGTTGTCTCTGATTGTGTCACTGAACATGGATCATTAATATTTAAACATGAATCTTCTGAATATTGATATTGAGTTAAATTTTCATCGGAATTTATCATTTCATTTGATGGAACTGGTAAATTAAGGGATAAAGATGATGGTCGATATTCAGCTAATTTAGAAGAATTTATTATAGTAGAAGTTGATGTCGTAGGTGGTGGTAAAAATAGTAGTGGTGATTGTCTTAATCTTAATTTTTCATGAAATAATTCATCGGATAAAATAGCCAATGTTTCAGGACGAGGTTGTGGTGGAGGATAAACACGAGAAGATGACAATTCTGGTTCAGATGGTATGGGTGTTAATACTACATTTTTTCCATTTGAACCACTGTCTACTTTACGTATAGTCGCTGATTTTTTTGTCGAAACGCTTGATGAAAAACCACTTAGACGATTTGTATTACGATAGAGTGAATGTGCCATATTTGTTGCAAAAAATCGAACATTTTGTTTATTACGATTTAAATTACGTGTTGTACGTGAATTTGGTGTGTTTGTCTGTGTTGCACCACTAACACTCATACCTCGTCGAGTTTTACGCGGAAATTTATTATCGTTTTTTTTTTCTACTGTACTTGTTGTACCACTTATACTTAAATCACAATCGGAATGGGATTCAAATGAATTTGAATTATCCTCATCACGTTTTTGTTCGGATGAATTACTACTATTTTGTGTATTAATAACACTGTGAGCTGGAAGACCATGTGGATCTTCTTCATCATCGAGACTTTCATTTGTTCCAACTCCACCTCCACTACCATTTGCATATTTATCAATTGCTTTTGTTGGAGATTTTGTTACACCAATACCAATTTGAGTCATAGCGTTTCCTACAAAAACAATAATTCATCATATCAAAATTATTTTAGAAAAATTTATTACAAAAAAAAAAATGTTTTTATTTACCTGCCATACCGACTAGGGAAGACATTTTACGTGCATTTTCTCTTGATTTACGTTCTAAATTACTAGCAACACCTTAAATGAGAAAAGAAATGATTAACACACATAAAACAGCTAAGGATAGTAAATGAAATAAATAATTTATACCATAAATAAATATATACAATATAATCATAACAATAAGAGTTGTCCAAAAATAGGCAATTATTAAAAATAGATTAAAGACACGGTTTTTATTCCATTGAACATCACCTAAATATAAAAAGTATTTAAACAAAAGATCTTGGTAGATATATCTGGTTATTAATCAGTGGTAGCTATGCTGTTATAATTAGTCAAATAAACAGTGATGAATAAGACAAAATGATAGACATATGAGTGATTTTTATGAGTACGATATAGAACCGATAAAGTGGAACTAAATATATAATTATTGTACATTCCTTGAGAGATCTTGATGAGACCAATCTAATCGAAATAGTTTCATAGCGGTGAATCATACATTTAAATTTGATAGGATCAGAAATATGAAATTAAACATCAATAATCGTTTCTAACTCTAGAAACGAGAAACTATTGGAAGATTTAGTTTTGAAACTATCATAGTTAGATTTGGAGAAAAAAAAAGACAAAACAAAAGTTGTCTAACATATTGAAATTATATTCTTTTTTCATATCGATACATCACTTTTTATCTGATTTCACATTTTTATCATTTATAGTGCCATTTTTTCACAATCATTTTTAAGAAATGTGTGTTACCTTTGTAGTTGGGAAAAAAAAGATAAGAATTTCTGTCAGACAACCGTCACAGACAGCGAACTTAAAAAAAACAAAATCTTTTGACAAAAACTATTAACAATCCATTCAAAAATATATTAAAAAAAATAATTTTACACACGGTTAAAACATAGACACACTCACACAGCACTCGTTCTTCTAAATCGTACTGCTTCCGAGAAAACTGTTCTGCTGTAAACCAGAGTGTTATGCATTTACATCAAAAAATCCAAAATAATTTAGAGAGAAATATTCTCACTCTATTTGCTTCATTTTTACAGATAATCTAACAATCTTAATAACTCTGCTATGTACAATATAAAGCTACTATGAGATTTAGTGAGTGAGAATGATTTGCAGATGTAGGTATTCAGCCCAATAATAAAAAATAAGTCTTAAATTTCTCCCGAAGAACATATAAACAATTATTTTACTTACAAATAACTAACGAGGGAACCCCTCGAAGTGATTAAACGCTTTTTGCTCGGAATCTAGTGGGTTATAGGTTATCGACCATGCTGATTACGAATACGACCATGGGGCTTCCCCATAGCCCTTCGAA